CTTTTATTAATATAACTCCTTTTATAAACCTTAAAATATTACTTTCTATTTATTTAAAAGCTATTATCTTCTATTTAGTCTTAATAGAACTATATAGCTTAAGTCTATTTATAATTAATAATCTATTTATAATTACTACCTTTATTAAGATAATTTAACTATAATATATTACTACTTAATTAACTTTATTAAGTCTTATATATTACTATATTTAAGTCCTTACTAAAACTTTAAATATTTTATTAAGCTTATACTTATTATTAATCTTACTTAATTTACTTTAAACTTATAACTATAAGTATAATATATAAATATTTAAATTAAAAGATATATATATTAAAATACTAAAGTATAAGTTATTAAAGATATTAATACTTATTATTAAAGATAAATAGCTATATAACTTATTAATCTTTAAATTTCTTAATATAAATATAAGTAATTATAAGCTTATAAATACTACTAAAGTTATAAAGTTATTAAAGATTAAAGTACTTTAAGACCTTAATCTTAAGTAGTTAATTAGTTTATTTAATTTTAATAAACTTTTCCTTTAATTTTAATCTCTTTAATAATTAATAAACTTTCTTAAAAACTTCTTTAATATATTAACTTTAAATTAATATAAATTAATTATATTAATAAATTCTATATTTAATCTTTAAAAGCTATCTTTACTTAAGTTAATTTAATATAATATAAAATATATTAAAATTATATACTAAATCTTAAATTTTAATAAATATAAATAAATAGATTATTATTAATAAGATTTAACTTTTTAAGTTATCTCTTATTTTTAATAAGTACTTTTAGTATTTAAGCTTTAATTATTAAGAGATTAACTTTATAGTAAAGTAATAAGCTTAATAAATATAATTATTAAATTTACTATAATATAAATAGCTTTATTACTATAAGTAAGCTTTTAATTAAATAAAGGTTTATATATTAAATATAATAAAAAAGACCTTTCTTAAGTTAATATAAATAATTATTTTTATAATCTTAAGAATTAGGTTATTTATATTAATTATATTTTAATTATTAATTAGAAGAACTATATTAAATATTAATATTTTTAGCTTTTTATTTTAAATTAAATTAAGAGAAATTAATAATAATAAATATTCTCTTTTAAAATTATAGCTAATTTATATATTAATTAGCTTTTATTAAAGTTTTTTTAAAATATTAATATTTATATTTAAGCTTTATATATAATCTTAAAAGTTTTTATAATATTAAAAAGGTTTAAGTATAAACTATAGCTTATTTTTTTTAAAATATATATTAAATAGCTATAGTTTATAGTTATATATATAGTTTAATTTTAAGATATTACTTTTATATATAGTAAAAAGAAATAAATAATAAATATTTTTAATAAAACTAACTCTTTTAAAGAGGAGGATTTAAATAATTAGATTATAATTATTAAAATATATTTTTATTAATTAACCTTTTTAATCCTAAAGTATATATTAATATAAAATAGTAATTATAATTATTATAACCTTTAGCTATTAAAAGGCTAAGAAATTAGTTTATTATAAAGATAGCTACTAAGGTTACTTAAGTTAATAGAATATTTATATATAATTAAGAAGGAGAGAAGAAAGAAAGAAAGGAAAAGAGATAAATAGCTAGACTAATTAAATATAAGCTTACTTATCTCTCTTAAATATATAAATATATATAAATATATACTTATTCTTATACCCTTTTTATTACTTTATTATATATACTTATTATAATTTAATATTTAATTATTAATTTTAATATATTATATATTATATTAAATTAATTTAAATAAAAATAATTTTTATTTAAATTTTAATTTAATAAATTAATTTAAATTTAAGCTTATTTAATATAATATAATAAAAAAGCTTTTAAAAAAAGTTATTATATTTAAAGTTTATAATATTTACTAGAAAAGTTAAATTTATAAAGTTAAATTAATTAATTATATTTATAAATATAATATAATATTTATTATAATAAAATCTTTATTATTAATATATAGCTTAATTAATTCTTAATATTTAGTAATTTATATAATTATATATTATATAGTAAAAAAAAAAAAAAAAAAAAAAAAAATTAAATTAAATTAAATTAAATTAAAAAAATATAATATCTACCTCCTCTTACTAGATATAATAGCTCTTAATAAGATCTAGAGCTAGGATAATATATAAATAGGACTTCTATATCGAGGGGGTCTTAATATCACGCAGTATATAGAGAACCATACACCCTTGCTCCTTAAAACTCTCTATATCATCAGAACTCAAGTACTACTTCACGGTGTTAAGCCTAACGCCGGGTATTCTCTATTGAACAAGGACATCACCACCATGGATCTAAACAAGTCAGAGTGAGTAAGCCTCGTATAGTTAGACCAGAAATAGACAAGAAGCACACGCCTTAGTATTGAAGTATATCCGGGACCTTGATGCTGAGCTTTGCCAGCGGCTTCTGGGCAATAGCGACGGTAGTGACCTTGATGATGATACTCCTGAGGGTAAAAATATCGTGACCGTTGTCGTCTAGTTCGTTTTTATAGACTAAATTGGAATCACCGCACTACGAGAGGACTTCTTCCCATTATCTCAAGGATTACGAAGAAGTGGAATTGATTTGTTCAAGTTGGGGCTTGAAGTCATATACTGCTGGTCCATAACGGCCATACAGTGGAATATCAGCATATGTGTCGTTTCTGAGGATCTTAGCGGGGTCTGTCTCGTAGCGAGACACTGATGTCGTCCGGCATCCCATGAGATCGAAATCAAGTGTGGAAAACACGGCAGAAAGGAGAGAAAACTGGAAGAGAAATATTGAATTCGGGGTGTTTGGGTCGCAACTAGCCGTGACACGGTATCGTCGTCGTGAAATCCAATTGGCTGTCCGAGCATTCCAACCCCCAAAAATTTGCCTAGCTGGTGATCCATCGCGCCATGCAATCTGGTTCAACTGCATTTGGCTCTAGGCAGTTGCCATGTGCCTCTCTTGTTTGGACAAGAGATGACATTGCTGGCTGTGAGGTTCTTTTCACTGACCGACCATGACTGCGACCCCAACTGAGCCAGATCTTACAAATTGAAAGCAAAAGGAGCTGGGAATAACTTAGGTTGAAGGTTATTTTAACTTGATGACAGAGCCTGTTGCAGAGACATTTCGCGAATGACGCAGCTCGGTAGCCACACATCTTGGTCGCCACTTGAATGGGTGTGTTCAATTGACATTATAAATCTGCTTCACCTCTCATTTGCCTCTGAGATCTTGTACTGCTCAGACTTAAAATAAGCAAATCTTGTCAATGCTACCCAGTGAGCCTTGGGTTACCGAGCAGTAACTACTCCCGTTACCTTCCGGTGACCTTTCCGTTGACTGTTAGGGTAAAGTGATGTTTGGTGAAGCTGAATGATCGGAAAGATGACTACGTAATGTAGTTTGCGTTCTGTCCAGGTTGTCTCTAGTCCCTGTTTTGTGTCGAGCACCAAGCACTACGGCTAAATATGCCAAGATCCTATGTTTTTCGTGTTCCAAAGAGTTTAAAGCGCCCAAGGAGCTGAGCACACCCATCAGGTTCGGAATGGCGGTCGTAGACCCGAGGCTATGGTGCGTGGAGTCATCCGCTGGGCTGAGCTCTGGCGCTTCACCATCAGCATCAGTAACGGTGTTGAGGCCGGCTTGATCGGCGTGGTCATATGTCGGGTATTTACGACAGCAACAGCAGCGCTCTCGAAGGGCCGACTTCGCTTGGGGGCTGGTTCATCTGCACCGTATTCGAGGTCAAAACCGCTTTGAACCAAAACGAGCTTGAACGCGAGAGCCCGGGACTAACGGCCCAGATTGGCGATGGTGTACTTGTTGATGCAATAGTGAAGTTGCAGATGTGTATGAGGAAGATTCAAGCTCATCAATACTTGGCCAGTGAACAAATCATTGGAAAGGAACCGTAAGGGAACAAGCAAGTAGGCTTGCTGGCGGGACGCACCGAATCTTGGCTCAATCGAACATCTTCTGACTAACTTTTCAAGCAAGGGAATCTGGACCGTGCGTTTGACTCAGGAAGAAAGAAATGCAGGCAGGAAGCCCATTGAAGACTGTCGAAGTTGTGTATGTAGCGAACTTCACTAATCGTCCAATACCTCTATGCGCACAGCGAGACGAGGGACCAAGCATATTTAGGGGTTCCATCGAGTGGCAGACGAATCCACGGAACAGATTCATCACTATCAATTAGGTTCTGCTAGCCTACTCAACTGTACCTGATAAGTTGACGCCATGCCCAACCTTTGTCGTCGTGCATCTTACCACTCCTATCTCGGGGAGAACCAACCCTGCGTCGAGGTAACGCGTTTACCGCACTCTTCCTGTGATACCTACCAGTAGGAGCCATAATGGTACTCGGGTGGTATATGTTTCCAGTACGTACGTGCATACATGCAATATATCAATAGAGGTGTGCTGAGTACCCGAAACTGGTCGTCGTAGGTACAACGCGGACCATTGCTAGCAGAATCACCCTAGTTACATGCGTTGGTGGCATGCGTTATATGTTTCCATAATTAGATAGTATGAGTTAATTATAGGTCTGTTGTCTGCGAGTGTTAGATATAATAATGCAGCTTATAAGGCAAACCAACCAACAACGGGGCCAAAAGCGACCCTACCGCAAGAGATTGACACATCTGTATAACCAACAGAAGATGTGAATACCACTACCACTGTATTTGCGTGATGAAAGTTTTTTTTTTTAGATATCGCAAGGATATATGTATTTACTAATCTTAGACATTGTTCACTCAATAATTCCAAGCCGCATTAATCAAGCGTATAAGAGTTGCCTCTTGTCCCTCATTACATGCGACCGTCTGATCTCATTATCATATAATCCCACATTTTGAAACAATTTTCTCTGGCAAGCTCTTGCTTTCACATTCAACTCATTAAAGCATATACACCGAGCCTTTCTCGTGGTTGTCGAAATGCATATCCTTCAAACTCTTCTGATTTGTGCCGCGGTCATCCAGGCTTTGGCTGATCTCCCCTCGAGGCATGTCACAACTGAGTCAAGCTACCTGCCCTCGGTCACTTTTATCTCGCGAATATTTGCTGACATCCATTTGCTATAATAGGTCTGATGTTGAGATCCGTAGCAAGTCTACTGGCGGAAGTTATTTCATGTTCCCTCGCGTGCCAGCTTGTGACCCCAAGAACAAGCAATGCATCCAATGCCCTACGACCAAATTTACTAAAGGGAAGAGAGGTCTTAAAAAGGGAATGAGTTCAAACAAGCATACCTCGAGCAGAGGCAAGCCCAAGGCCGCGACTCCACAACCCGTCAACGCGAAAAAAGTCAACAAAGCCAACGGTGCTGCCAATGCCAACGCAAAATCCAAGCCCAAGCCCAAGAGATCGAACAATGAGCTTATGGAAAAGCACTCAGATGCCAGAAAGATGAGGAGTCGCTCAAGGTATCTTGCTGGCCGCATGGGAAAATCCTCACTTGCTCGGAGCGTATTCCCTCGTGTAGACTTTCCGGAGGATCAGGTGAATGCTAACGGTCCATGGGAAGAGGGCGACCAGATCACCATACTTAATTCTCAAAAATGCCTCTCGATAGTGGTTTTGGAGAGAAATAGGTACCAAACGCTCAACCTCAAACCGCAAGATCCAAATGACAAAACACCAAGCTTCGAATATGTCAAGAACTTTTTGATTGGTCACGGCGTATTGGATGCAAGAACCATAAAGCCAAAGAAAGCATTCGCTTATCTGGTTGTTCCAACTGCCATAAGGCAATCGTCAAACTCTTTATACACGACAGCGTTCGAGCAAGTTGCCCTTACAGTCATGGAATGCAAACCGATCGAGCTCAAAACAGGCAGGCCACAGAACGTTCGTATCACTAACTCAGGTGGCAATGCGTTTAACTTTCAACATGAGATTCTCGGCGGAACGGCTAGTTGATCTCTGGGAAATGAATGACTTGCTTATCACTTAGCACCCAGTCAACCACTGCTCCGGTCCAAGGAGGGATTCGAACCTGTATGAAATTCAATGATTTGGCCATTTTTGTTGGAGGGCCTTTGGAGAAAAATACGATGGTAGGGAGGCTTTACTGCCGAGTACAAGCTCCTGTTATATTTGGTTACTCTTGTGTTTGTTGTTGCTCACCTGTAATGACAAGACTCTAGGTTAAATTTGCTTGGGGCTCAGGAGAGCCCGCTCATGGTGTGGGAAATTAAATAGAAATTTTTTAATGAGTGGCACGGTTCTACACTTGCGTTCCTCGATGCATGCCCACCAGTGACTAGAGGAGATATACTAAGTGTCGAGCCATGATCGCAGCATGCCCACACGTATACACACACATATATATTAACACGAGACATATTTATCTTGGTAGTAAGGGGATTTGCGAAGGAAAATCGGCAGATCAGCTTGCGTAGTTCGTCAAGTGGCTGCCGAGGTCGAGTAAACCGGGTCATAATTTGCTACTTCGGCTCCGCCAGGGTAAACGCAACTTCAAAGTTGATTGTAAAACTTCCATTAGCATGGCATGCCATATTATTGTAATGGCCCGAATTCAATTTTAAGATCAAACGATGTTCACAAAGGGGATAAATCCACGCCCAAAACGATATGGATCCCATCGGTCTTGTTCGTGTTTACTCGGTATGTCTTCCCTTCATGTCTGCCGAATGCCTCTTGATAATTGATTAGCTGAAGTAAGAAACGTTCTAGGCATGTGTGGTATTAGTTCCATAACCTACAGCCATTGTGACTCGGTATAATGTTTTGTTTCGAGTAGTCAAAAGTCTGGGCAGCTTTTATCAAGCCCCAACTAACCCTGTCTACTCTGTGTTTATTTTGTCCAGTATTCTATCAGGCCTGAACCTTGGTCGGCTCGAGCTTCCTGATCTACATTAACTAGGAGGGCTACACCACTATGTCAAGAGAAGTAAAATAATCATCGTTTTGCCAACCTCTGCAGTGAAGCGGCTCTTCCAGTCGAGAACAAAGTTAGCATACTTGCCACAATATCACAAGGTGATGGAAAGAAAAGGTCTCTAACCTGCCATCGTGCGTCAATCTTGCGGCTGGAATTAAGGTACTGAGGTAGGTATATTTTGGCGGCGCCCTCATGAACGTACAGCTGTCGGAACATCCCGCCACAATTGGAATGGCAGGCGGCGAACCCCGCCGTTTCCACCTCCAGCGGCCCACCTCATGCATCATCAGGGAGGGCTGCTCAGCACGAAGAAACTGCTGCTGTAGCATTCGGAGGTGAGCTTCACCATTGCAGTTCTTCTTTGTCCCGTGCAATGATCTCATCAGCGACGCAAGGCCAGGGACAGCAGATATGATCCCGCCATCGCACCACTCAGAAACCCCAGAACATGGGACGCGTATCGTGTCCAGGCCATACGACGTGGCCATGCACCTCGACGAATGGATGATACGGGCGTACGGCTGCATCGGGTCTCGCGCCAGTCAAACTACCGTGCTAGTTTTTCTTCTTTACAGTGCTCGATTGACGAGCAATCTCCTAGAAACCATCGCCGAGGGTGCTATGACTGTCAAGTCAGCCCCGTCTCTGAAAGGACGCAGGTGTGCCCATCTCGCTCGGACGGCAGGACGATTAGGTACTTTTGCCCTTTCGCTAGCCCAATGCTCAAGACAAGCACTGGGTACGATTGCTCAAGCTCTTGCCTTTGGGAGGCTCTGGGGCTTGCTCGGGGTCTACTTTTCTTTGAAGCAACTCGTCCAACCCAGGGCGTCGCCAAATCTCAGCGGCGACCAGAAGAAACGGCCTTATTTGGAAAATATATTCAAAACTGCCCAGTTGATTTTCCTGACCTGCTACTTCGCCGCCGATAATGTGAGCTTTTTATCTGGTCGTAAGATCCTGGCTATCCCACCATCTACCAGGAAGTCGCTGTCCCGCTGGTCCTTGCGCTCGTACGCGCTGTGTATAGCTGTAGACATTGCACGTCTAATAACACAGCGGTTGAGGATAGGAGGGGAAACCGCGCCGGGGAGCTGGAGGAATCAGTTCCTGACAACCTTGGCCATGTTCTCCATCGCCTTGCATAATAGTATCGACAACAGTCCGCTAAATGATATCACGATTTCGCTTCTAGGGTTTTATCAGAGTGGATCACGGATGAAGAATCTTTGGCATGACAGTTCTCCGCAAGTTGGGACGCAAGAGAAGGACCAAGAGAAATTGGCAGCTGTGAAAGCCCCTTAGCCCAGATTGGAGGACAATTTGATTGGTGCTTGTTCTTTGAAATATTATCTCAACTACTTACATCTTACTGCATGCCGTAAGTGCTGATTCTACCCGCATGTTAAGGATACCGTGACGACGAGTTCCGTGATTGGCACATCGGCCATTCAGTTACACGTATCTCGCTGCATCAAGACTCTCTCGTTCTAACATTCGTTGTTCTAGATATATCCATTCTCCTATAACATAATTTTTCAATACAACCGAGAATATCTGCATGTGTTGGAGAATCTATTTATCGTCTTTGTTTTATTTGCTTTGACCTGACCACAGTACTAGAAAGCAAAGCTTATTGTTGATGGTATTTTCTTTTCTCTTTGTAACTATAGAACGCCCAATAGCCATTCATCGCCTATGTGGTTAGATCTGAAGCAAGGGATTTATCTGGGTGCAATGGTCAGGTTAAGAGGTTGTGAAACAAAGTAAAACCACATGTAGCACGAGCCAAGCACGTGGTTGACAAAACCGCTGTACGTTTGTCTAGAGACAAAGGAAGACAAGAAAAAGCAGATAGCACACGTCTTTGTCTGTGAATTAATCTAAGGTTCTCGAATTAAATAGTTCGGATCTTTCTATTTTTATAAAGCCGTGCTTCCGCCTTTGACCATCAATTCTCTAGCCCTAGATCATTCGGTCTTTGTTGTACTTCCTAAAAAAAAGTATATCTTTTCTTCTCACTTCTGTTACACGGAGAATATTTTCCTCCTCACTCCTAATATATCCACCTCTGTGAACCAAAGCTATCCTTGCAAAGCGACGTCGGCCTCACCACCAGCATTTTGGGTCCAATCATTGATCTGCACCACCATGCCAACCACAAGCTCCAGCCCTGAATCAAGCAGAAGTAGCTCGGTTGGATCATGTGTCTCGACGACGACGACTGCTCGATACGGCTTGGAGTCATTTGAGACTCTCGAACCACGTGTTCTCAAGCTTGCCACGGAGAGTGTCTGGCCAGGCAGTAAAGCAGAGGACATCGCCGTGAAGAAGATAGCATTGGGAGGGTTCAACCGAATTATTGGGCTAGAAAGAAAGGGAGAAGAGGTCATTTTGAGACTTCCCCATTGCAAAGGAGCTGATATCAATGCCGAGGTGAACGCTTTAGACTTCGTGCGGAGGCACACCACGATCCCGCTGCCCGAAGTCGTGTCCGTCGACGATAAGACCAACAACGATTTGGATTCCAAGTACTGCATTCAGCGACTTCTTCCATCAGGAACGGTCCTCAGCTTATACCTGGGATTGACTCACTCACAAAAGTGCCAAGTCGCTCGCGAGTTAGGCAACGCAATGAATCAAATGCTCGCCGTGAAGAGCAGCATCGCTGGTAGAATATCCAGTAAACCACTGGACGTCCCATCCGCCTCCACCAATACGTTTCTCTCAAATATCCGCTACTGGATTAATCGAGACATTTCCCTGAAGCGGCTTCTAGGGAAGGATATTATCACCCTCCGGCAATCTCACGTCCCACGGTCTTTGTTTTATATCGAACCTCTTCTTCCCAGATTCGATGTGCTGACTACGGAAGAGGCTGATCGTCGATTCAATGATGCTGGGTTTGGAGTAGCCTATAGTGATCCTGTTGCCACGAGACCCTACCAGGCACATGCACCACAAGAGTCTACGCTCGATCTGCTTACTGCGCTGTGCAAGGCACATAAGGCCAACAATATTCGCCGTTGCCCACTGAGAGCAGGGATGCCGCATCTGATGGATCGACTCAGCCGCATGGCAGAGCAGCTGGCAGCCCAAGGGTGGCTGAATGACCGAAGCTATTCACTGTGTCATCTTGATTTTCATCCACGCAACATATTAATTAATCCCGGTGCCCGAGAGATTGTGTCCGGAATAATCGACTGGGATAGCGCGTTATTCCTTCCTACATTCATGGCATGTGAGCCTCCTATGTGGCTTTGGGCCTGGAATGATGAAGATGACGAAGATCAACGACACGCCAATGAAATACCGTCAACACGTGAGGAGCAAGAGATCAAGGCCATATTTGAGGAGGCCGCAGGTAAAACCTACTTGAAGTTCGCCTATGATCCATCTTATCGTCTAGGAAGGCAACTTGTCAAGTATATTATTGAAGACGTGAGATGCGTTTCCACCGCTGAAATCGTCGGTCAAATGTTGGATGAGTGGGACGTTTTGTATTCACAGAGTCAAATGGAGTGAGGTGGCTTAGGAAGAGTTGTAAATGCCGAAAAAGAAGCTGAAACAGATGTGATCTACCTCCAAGCTTCGTGCTTGCTCTCTATATTCCCTACTGTTTTCTTTTCCTTGTTTAGTTTTGTCACTGGATGGGAGACCTAGTTTTTTTTTGTAGTCAAGAATGGAACAGTGAGAAACATAAAAATGGTTGGTTCTCTGGTGTTTAAGATGCTTCCTGATTCTTGATCTGGATTGCCCATTAATTGGAAGTTGAAAGATAACTCTGAATGTCTTAAGCTGCTCGCCATATCGTGTGTGAATTTATTTACTGCGGAAAGCTCGGTGAAATCTCGTAAGGGCATTGAAAACTACTTCCTGCATCATCTCTTTGTCTTCAATCCTCTTCCCGTTAGCTGTAGCTTTATTGGTCATTCAAGGTTGTCTGATTGATGTTCGTTCTATTTCCAAACTTCTATTTATAGAAGTCATATTCATGTTAGAGTCAAGGAAGGGGATCTAAATCCATTGAAAGGACCTCCTATGACTATTCTCTTCGGAGCATAAAGGTTTGAATATAATCCATAAACAATGATATCTCTACACGATCCGATCAGGCTTCAACCTAGAACAATCGTTGACTTGGAATATTTAAGAAAGCAGAGTATCCCAAGTTCATGGAAAGGAGTCATCTCTCGAGTATCTACAGAAGTCGTTGTTCTATCCAACACGCATCTTTACAATTCCGAATCACATAGTCATAATCAATGCCTGGTGCACGCAAACCCAGCAGGACACATCATTGTCCAGGGAGGAGGCGAGGCAACTGTCGACCCTGTTTCGAGTTTACGAAGACTTTTTGCAAAAAACACCAAATTTTGTGTCTATCCCATATGCAAATTCACCTGAGAGAGCAACCTTGTCCAGAGTGTGAGTATTTCTTTTGTTCCATTTTACGAAGACTGTAAATAACTAGGGATGTAACTTAGGTGAACTAGCTGCATTTTATGAGCAAAGCAGTGAAAATAGTAGCTCTATAGCTACTAAAAACTCCAACACCTCGAGAAAATGCCCCTAAATGACGTGGGGAGGGTTAGTTGGCCTTCCGCCAACAGCATGCTGACCCGTGAACACCTTGCTCCTCTTGATCTAATTGGTTGCCTCAGCTATCTCAAAAGAACCCAAAGATGCCTATTCTAGCCTCAGGACTCTAGTTTACTGAGAATATCGTAGTCTTTGGAACACCCAAGCGACAGAGTGGGAAGATGGATGATTAAGCGCCAGGAGGACTGAAATTACTTGATCTCATTTACCTTTACATGTCTGTTCACATCTTATTCGCCTACAGCAGTCTCAATTTCCATTTCCCCAAATGTCAAACTTCACTCTCATGAACAAAGTTTGTCCACAGCTCACTGGTCATTTTGATTTTCTCTACTTAAATGCTTACTTATACTGCTCGAGTATCTCACATGCTGTCACCATAACTGATTGACATGTTTTATCAACTAATTTTTTATCTTAATTCGCCTCGACAAGCGCAGAGCTTTTGGGGGGCCCTGGTTGTGGCCTTGCGTAGGGAGGAATGGCATTATCAACAACAGCCTGACACAGTCTGAGCTTGCTGCTGGAGGAGATGACAGATTATCCATAGCACCTATACTCTGCAGCCTGTCCTCGCCGTTATTAAAGAAAAAGGTCCCTTGACCATCTTATTTGGCGTCTTAAACGATACTCTGATCACATATCCGGTACTATATTGTCGTCTGAAGTGCCCCCTTGCCTTAGCCGGAGTGGGAACGGATACAGCTAGTTTGGCCAGGAAATCAGAAGCAGGCATCACCGAGGAGACCACCCGAATGCAACAGATCAATGAGAGCACCTATAAACCCTCAGAAAGTAAGGTGAGACTCGTAAGCCTGTTGCTCGTCGTCCGACCAGTCCATCTACCAACATTCCCGAGGACAGAGGTAAGGTAGCCCACACGAGATACTTCACTTTACGTTTCGCTGCGTATGACTCGCCTCTCTTGTTCCTCTGCTATAACCCGAGGGCCGTTTGCCCTGACTAAGATTCATTTTATAATTTATTAGCGGGGGCTTGACTCACTTTGCGTGGTCAATTATCTCCCAGCGCCTGCTACCAGGCAACTTCGAGTACTCACGATTAGTTCCTCGGCATCTCACTGAGACTTGCATATTTTACGAGAGGGTAATGATCGATGCAATAACCGGGACCTCAGGGGAAGGCAAATAAAAAGGCTATCAGGGAGGCTATGCAAGCACTGTAAATATTAACCTGGAATCTGAGGCTTGGTGGCACCTCGATATACATGAGCTAGCTACCGTGTAATGACAACCGATTGGGGATGGCTGAGAAGCCGCAGACATCCGAGTCCTAGTTTACGCTCCTTGTTGTGAAAGAGCCTTGCTTCTACTGCAATGACTTTGTTTTTGGCTGAGCACATCCAACGCCTCCTATCTATTACACTACGCCAAAAGGTGGTCAACCATCAGAGAAATGTGATGCCAGATTCATGAGAATATTATATTATTAAATAATAATCTCCTTCTTCAAAAGTCCCAAAGCCAATTGATTGTTCCCAACACTCAGCAGTGATATCACTTGATTGATTCTGCTAATGCTGCGAATATCCTCGGCACTGCCCCTATCACCATGCAGCGCTGCCGCCCGGGACGCTTGTTCATAGTAGTCCATTGCCACAGAGGCGATTCCAAGAAGATGGAATAATCTCCCAATGTTATAGAAAACTTCGGCTTGGTGTTGGCCGTTTGCTTGTCGTCGCTGTGCGTCAACATACTGAGCCATAAATGCCTGGCCCTGCAAAATTAGATATTGCCTGTTTGCTGACTGTCGCTTGAGGCCGTAGTGGACATATGCCAGGCCAAGGCTCAGGTTCACCATGAGATTCTCTGGGTCAAGAGCCCGGGCTCGTAGAAAATAACCTATTTCGTTAAATATGGTCAGAATTCTCAGTAGAAGCGCAGGTGAGGGAGCGAGCAATGACAGGCACCACGTACCCAGAGCAAATGTATAACTAGTTGATGTGAAAAGAATATGGCCATACAGCATCAACAAACAGACATCCAAGTTGACGTCTACCGGATCTGTGACGTTGACGCTTTCGTTTCCATTCTGGGTCCCAGTGCCACCCAAGTGTGCAGAATCGATAGCTTTAATCTGTCTTAAAATAAACTTCTGTGCTGGGCCAGAAGTGTACCAGGAAATGGGTGATTGGCAGAGTGTTGACAGTAGTGCAAACATTCGATGAGAGTCCGATATTGCCCCGTCCTTCATCAGGTGTCGGGCTATGGAGATACATTTCTCTTCATCGCTTGTGTATATTGCGCATACTGTGATTCTTGGTTAGTAAAATATTTCATTCATGTCATTATTCATGTTATAATTACCGCTCCATGCAACATAGATCGCAAAGTTGTGGTTAGGCGACTGGAATACAGTTGAATCTTTTGCAGCTTCGCATACTGAATATGACTCTTCTCGTCGATGTGCCGCAGCCAATCCCACAGCATAATCAAGAAATAGATTTAACCATTCATCAAAAGATATGCCTTGGTGACCATTATTCTCGAAATTGGGCAGCGTGTCTTTAGTTGCTAGATCAGGCTGAGGAGCAAGAGCTGCGTTGCATATTTTGTTAGAAAACCTAATTTGCGTACTTCGCGTATACTGATCATCATGGAGATTGTCTTACTTCGTGTTAGTCTTTCATACATTTGGCTCAGCTCAGAGCTAGGCTGGTAGCGCGACAGAGGTTGGGGGCTCTTTGAACTGCTCAGGAAGTTCAGATATTTGTCCCACGAGTAGAATTTCTTCAGCGATCGGAAGTCATCAATCAATTCGCGAGAAGATCGCATCCAGGAGTCGACCAAATCATCCCGCCCAGATCGAATCTGATTCTTTAGTTCACATACTGCCGAATACTGACGTGAGAGCCTGATAGCATGAGCTTGTTCTTCTTGACGCCGCTTGTCAGGGTTGGCAAGCCTCTTTGGTCGGTATCTCCGAGGTATGACAGGCCGTTTAGGAGCCCTGCCGGATAAGCCTCTTACCTTCTGTCTCCGGACACGTGAGCCTGCACCGTCCTGTGATCGGCGTCGATGCGATGCCAGTTCACTTTGACGTGTACCTATTAGTGGCTGATCGTGGGCTTCTTGGAGAGCCATAGCCTCAGCTGCCAAGATGAGGGCCTCTTCATCTTCTTTGGCTTTCTCATACATATTTGCAAGCTCAATGCGAGCGTCGATGCTCTCTTCATCCACCTCAATAGCTGTAAGGAAGCACTCTTCGGCAGCAGCGTTTCCGCCAGTGGCTAGATAGCACCGCCCAAGTTCCAGTAGAACTGTCGCATCGGGCTCTCCGGATACTTCTCGAAGAACTTCCAAAAACTTGGCGGCCAAGCTGAAATGTGCATGACGGTAAAGCTCGGAGGCCACGTCAAATGCAAGAAAAGGGAAGTCACCAACAAAATCTCGGGTATGGTGTTCAGTTGGGTCCAGCCAGTTTAGGTGCTCCTATGACAGAGTTAGGTTCTTGGTTTGGGGACAGAGAACAGTTTCGTTGGTTAGGGCTTGCCAGGGACAAACATACAAATGCCTCAGAATCTTGTCCGATGCCCAGACGATAGATAGCCAAACGAGCTCGGAGATCTCGGGGCAGACTGACACCATAGAGCATGTGATTTCCAGGGCTGGAGGCAAATTCCGGAACACCAAGTCGCCTATCATTTCCTTCATCCCATTCGCGGTCATCACCTTGCCACTGATCCCAGTATGATTCTGATGATCGACCAACTCCCCATCGTGCGAGGGACTTTAGTTCAGAAATAGCTTCATCGTAACGACCAACAGAAGCAAAAAGTTCGACATATATGCCAATATCATGCCATGGGGCCTCATCAGCTTGTGTCAACACTGATCCGATTTCTAGGTCAAAGTAGTGTCTATAAGAAGCAATAGCAGCCGGGACAGACGATTCTATGTGCT